CTCCAGGAGGCCATGGGCTTCCCAGTGCCTCACAGCAAAAAGCCCTTCACCTCCTGGTTCCCAACTGAAGCTCTGTAAGATGGACCGTGAGGCTGGTCCTGCTGGCTGCCCACCCAGTGTGCCGGTCCCTGTCACCCTGTGCCCACTGCTGTGAGCAGCCATGGGTGCTGGCCGCCCAGAACCATGACGTCCTTCAGACAACGGAGTGGTGACTTTGTCAGCCTATCGTTTCTCTCGCATTTATTAGCAGGGATAGGAACTTGCCCGCAGCCATTCATGGCTTCTTCTGAAATAGAATCCAAGCAAGGAAAGGAAGCATGTTGTTAGGTGCCATGATAGCGACTCATGTGCAACAGAATGAAGCCGTCCACTCGTGCACCATCCTCATAATCGTCGCTGCTTTTGAGCCCACTGCTGCAGCCACCGTGTCTGTGCGTCTTGTCGGAGACTTGCTCTTTCTCACTGTCCCCCTGCTTTACCAAGCGTGCTGTCTTTCTCCCAGAAATAGTCCCTCCTGATGAAATGACCAGACTCTGAGTGATGGAGTCTTGCCATCCTCGCTTCTAAGGAGAATGGAAGCCTAAGGGTTTAGTTCTTTTCATTTATGAATTGGCACAGTAATGACAGGGTGCCCTCGATCACCAACATTGACTGATGAGTCTGGGGTACATTTCTGCTTATTGTTTGTTTTTGCTTTTTTGAGTACCGTTAGGAACTCACGGATTTGTATACAATGTTGTGCTTCAACTTGTTGTAGTGTTCACTCATTTATTTATCTTTGATACTGAAAATTGTTTCATGTTTGGCCAATAGAAGCCACTTTCCCTTGGCTCCTGGGTCCTTTCAACAGGACTTGGAGTCTTTGGTGGCTCCCCTGCTTTCTGGCTTGACAAGGTGGGGCTCAACCCATGTTTAGCAATGAACTGAGTCCGAGGAAATGTCGCCCTTGCAGGTCAAGCTCATCTGCAGTGTGAACCGAGCAGCTATCCGCCCTTGTCAGCACACAACACCCTCCGTCGGGCCCTGTGTTTCAGGGGACATGTGACACTGGACAGTGATCTGCTCCCTCTTGTGGCTCCCCTGTGCTTCACCTCATCCATGCTCTGGGGCCATGCGGACCCATGAAGTTGGAAACTTCTCGGGGCTCTCTTTGCAGGAGTTTGTGCTAGTGGGATTTGAGGGTGGGCTGGAGACCCAGGCCCTACTCTTTGCTGTGTTCCTGGCCCTCTACGTGGTGACC